AACAGGATGGCTGGGGTTTGGACTCCGGGATCCAAGGATTTCAAGGGCCAATGATTGGATTTCAAATAATCTAAAAAAAACAAACAAATATTTTTATATATTGTAGTGTACAGTGGTCCCTCTCTATATCGCGGTTCTCTCACACTCCCTCAGTACATCGTGGGATTTTTTTTTCAATCTGATCTCGCGAAATTTTCGCAATATCATGAAATATAGCTGTTTATATATTAAAAGATAATTATACATTCAAACGTTTTGTCACACTCCCTCAGTACATCGTGGGATTTTTTTTTCAATCTGATCTCGCGAAATTTTCGCAATATCATGAAATATAGCAAAAAATAAACTAAAAGATAATTATACATTCAAACGTTTTGGCTTTTAAAATCTTAAAAGTTGATTCTTATTTTGTAACTGAGATAAGCGCATTTGCGAACGATCACTGGTAGCTTTGTTTACCTAGACAAGATCGTACACAGCATACTGTTGGCTAATACAATGCACCTCTACTTTGCGATTTTTCCCATTTCGTGGTGGGTCTTGGAACGCAACTACCGCTAGGACAGGGATTTCTGTAGTACTACCCCTGAAAATTAGTACCATTAGTATGATCAACATTAAAATACAGCAGCACCGACTTATGCTGTTCAGATGAGAACACCATATATAGTACAAGTAGAGAATGTACTTCAGTTCAATCCAAATACCACATAAACAACTGTATGTATACATGCATCGCTAACACACTATAAGCTAGCACTCACAAACATGCTGCTAATCTTGTTGTCACTATATATTATCTTACTTGCTACATGACTTATATCCAGAGGAAAATCAATCCGTGAATCATACAACAGGCTTCCCTGGCACCACCTACAGGCCAGGAAAGTGGGACATCTGATCATTAATCATAGTAATGAGTGAATCTTAAAATATTTTTTGAGGAAAACATCATTATCTCTGTCTGTGCGCAGTCAAGGCGGTGGTTCTTTTTACTTTTACTTTCTATTTACCAGAAGTCTTGTGATTATGTTGAAAGAGGCAGCTGGGCTTTATTGGCAGGAAAAGATCCAGTTTGGTCCAACAGAGAGACAATGAGGGGGAGTATGGGAATAAAGCTGCTCCCCAGAGACATTTCCAGCGAACCGAGCTATAACTTTTTAATCTTTGATCATCACATGTATTGAAAGCCAACCATGTCATGATATTATAGAGATAGAAAAGTGAGACATTCTATAGTGTCAGACCCAGGGTGTATTATTCTTCAGAACCAGAGGAAGTGGGTTGTTGATGACGCTGGATTTATTTTAACTGGGGTTAAGCCATTGATTCAGAGAAGAAGAGTGAGATCAGAGTCTGGCCTCGTGACTGGCTGCTGGAGGAGGATGACTGTAGAGGTGCTTATAAAAATAAGTGCTCATTAAAAAGAAAATGACAAATAAAAAAGTGCTCATATATACAGTATATATATATATATATATACATATATATACACAGTATATACCTACATATAGTGGGGCCCCCAGATACAAGCTCCCCAAAATACATCTTTCCAAGGTAAGAGTAGGCGACTTTTGCAAGATTTTCTTCGTGATACGAAGAAACTTTGAGTTACGAGTGCTCAACCTCTGTCCCTCGCTGGGTTGTTTTACCCACTGTTATAACAATAGTATAAAATGTTTTCTTACTTATTATTGTTTTATACTATCAATATATTTGTTTATATATTTATCTTAGAGAGGGGCAATTTTAATTGAATTAATTAATAGTATATTTCTGGGGGGCTGGAACGAATGAATTGTTTTTTTGTTATTTTTATTGGGGAAAAAGCAATCGAGATACGAGTGGATCATCCACGAGTGCTGTTGTGGAACGGGTTACACTCAGTCTCGGGGGTCCACTGTATGTCAAAAACACGTGTATCAGTGGTAGCTAAAACAGTTTGTACCTTCAGGAGTTATGATTGGACTCAGGTTTTTATCCTGGAAATGGTCCAAACATGTCTGACATGCATGTAAAAAACAGCCTGTTAAAAGTAAATTTCCTGTCCTGCTGAGTGTGTGTGTTTGTTTGTGTGTGTCCTCATTTGCTCCTTGTGTTTCCAGCCTGTCATGAGTGTGTCCTCACAAACACATACAAACTGGATTATATTTATCGTGTTTACATAGTTGATAAACCGCTGTGATGATCACAGCTGGAGAACCAGCAGAGATCAGGTTCAGGATCCACGGACAGTCCCTGACCCTGGTACAGCCTCACACTCTCTACTCCGGTGTCACCTTGACCCTGACTTTGGAACACGGCCAGACAGCATCAACCAATTAACACCAACAACCAAGTGCTGTGTTTTCTTTCACTTTGAGGAGAAAAAAAAATCATGAATACCTGTGGTCAGAATTGTGTGTGTGTGTGTGTGTGTGCTGGTTTTTGTATTTATGAGTGGTTTCCTGCTCACAGTGTCAAAGGATCAGGCTGTAAAAACCAGGGACAGGAGCAGACTCCTGTACAGTAAGGCTGATGGAATGTATGTGTGTGTGTGTTTTAATGTGTGTGAAGAAAAGCACATTAACTCTGGCATGATCACAGAAACACACACACATGGAATGCATGTTAATGTATGTATGTATGTGTGTGTGTGTGTGAGAGAGAGAGAGAGGGAGAGAAAGAGAGAGAGTGAGTGTGTGAGTGAGTGTGTGTGTGTCATGGTCTTGTTGTTTCCAGAAAGTCTTGTTAACAGAAGGCAGGAATGTGAAAGTAAAAACTTCTGCTGTTTAGAATCTGCTTCACATTCACATCAGTTTAAACAAACAAATTACTGGCAAAAGTTCATAATGCTTTAGATACTGATGAGAACCAGAACCATCAGACTACGAACAAGCAGAACCATCACAACCATTAGGAAACCCAGAACCATTAAGGCCAGCCCCTACTAAGAACCAGAACCTTGAGAACCACCAGAGACAGAACCATCCAGACCAAACATTTGTTTGTTAATTTTTTCATGTTCGTCTGTTTCAACATGTTTCAACCAAACATACAACCCAGTGAGATTTTCAAACGGTTTCATTTAAGACGACAGTTTGTGGGTTGGATTCTTCACATTTTTCACAAACAGGAAACAAACAGCGGGAGAAAATAGAATGTTCCTCACAACCGGTTTGGTCCAAATGGACAATAAATGATTAATGTCACTAAATAATAATAATAATAAAAATAGCATCAGACAGTTTCTGGATGGCATTTAAGACGACCATGAAGTCACTAGTTTTGACCAATGGTTGAGTTCCACACGTCTACATGTGACAGGGAGGGACATGGAAGTATCTGTGAGAATTTTAGAATAAAGTTGTTTTTTTTTACTCTATTAAACTGAAAAGAAAAATGCTTTGAAAGTACAATAAAATTCACATTGTAATAAAACATCAGTAACTATAATTAATTTATATATAACTAATAAAAAAAATTACCCAAGTTTAGGAATTTGAAAAAAACAAAACAAAAAACAAACAAACAAATACCTCACCAAAAATGAATAGTTCACTCATTCCCAGTTTTTACTTTTTTTTCAGAACTAATTATTTTCTATTTTTTCTGTCATCATCGTTGTCGGTAAAAATAATAACGACACCTCATTAGGCGGCTCTTCCTGTGCTGATTGCTGAGAGATGAGTAACGATAACCACACCTGGACTCTGGGGTCAACATTACTGACTGTAACCAATCCCAAAAGAGAAACAAATCCCACTGTATTCTTGAAAGTGTCCAGAAGAATTCCTTCGGAAAGATTCAGAGATGAGTGATAAAGGTTTCTGGTTAGAACCTCAGCAGAGCACTGACGTGTTCTCTGCCGGTTGATGGTTCAAGCACGTGAGGTGACCGGAAAAGAGAAAGTGCAGGATTTGTTGCAAACACACACACACACAATGATGTCACATCAGGACTACAAACAAACAACCTTTCACACCTACATTCACACCTAAAGTTACTTATGAATCTACAATGGACCCAAAATTCGTAACTAGTCATTTTATAGCCAGTGACCTTCAATTGGGGGAGTGCAGCCACTAAGGCATCCATAAATATGCTGCATCAGGGTCGTGCATTTTTTTAAAATCAAATTTTTCATTTTCCTCAAAATACCTGCATGGATATAATGTGTTGTAATTAAACACATGAGTATTAAATGGTGGTGCTTTGGCCCAGAGGCTATGTCATTGGTGTGGAACCCCAGGGTTCACCTCCTGGGCAAGATCAAATCCCAGTTAGGGCAGTCGGTACCTTCCAGTGGACTCACCACCTGCAGGAAGGTTTAGGGGGGGTTGGTACGGTGCGGTGTAATTTGGGTGGCGGTCATGGAGACTGCTGCCCCCGCAACCAGGTAACGGATAAGGATGAAAATAGATGGATGGAGTATTAAATGTGAATAACAAGGTTAAAACTGGGCACTGGGCCCAGTTTAATAAAAGAACTAGATCATAGTCCTATAGTCTTAGTTTATAGTTTCTGTCCCACAGCTTCGCCGGGGGTCCCTGCTCCATCGCTACTACTATCAGTTTGTTGGTCCAAACCGTCGTCTGGACTAAATAAAACCGAATCACATGACTGTGATTATAAGCTGTTCTAGCAGAACCAGAGCTAAAGAAAATTCATTCTAAAGTGATACAAGCAAATCATTCTAACAGAATTACGTGGTGGTCCAGACCCATGTTAGTAGACTAAAGTCATTAAAGGTCCAGGAATGTGTGACTGCTTTGGTTTATCAGTACAGTAGGCAGAGGAGGATTAGTCCGTTAACTGCCTCCTCACTTCTCAGTCAATCTGCTCAGTCACAGCATCCCTTCAGCCTCATTTTTGCGATCGTCACACGGATACAAAGCAGATTCCAGTGTGTCTCCGGAGTGAGTGTGGAAATTCCAGATCTGGTCTGGAATTTGGACTGACGGGAAGAAGGATGGAGTTGGGGGGAAAACCCACGGTGGTCCGCCTATAAAAGGAGGGAGCAGCTGAGAGCAGCAGCATTCCTCGGACTCCTCACAGCTCCTCTCACTCCTCCTGCTCTTCAGGAAGATCTCGGACCTCCTCGCTTTTCAGGAACTTCTTTGTCCGTCTGCAGAAATGGCCCTGATCCAGAATAGTCCTGTTCTGCTGCTCTTTGTCGTGGCAGCAATTTACATACAGCTTGACCAAGGTGAGTCCAGACCCGCTTTTCAAAAGAGTTCAGGGTTTGAATTTGTTTTTCATTTCTCACAGAACTTTCCTTGCTGTTTGTTTGCCCCGGACTCCTTGCCTGCAGTAACAACACTCTCTCTTTCTTCAGCAGCCCAGAACACTATACCTGGACGTTGTTGGTGTCCCAAATCAGTGAAGTTCACCAAGGGCAACATGACCGATTTCCAGGTCCTTGAGAGGCATCCGGGGTGTGACAAGACCGAACTGATGTGAGTGTGACACAAACAAACCAGTAAACAAACAAACAACGGCATGTGGTGCTGACTCGTTTTATCTTCTCTGTTTCCCATCAGTGTAACCATGGCAGAAGCAGACAACTCCACTGCGCAAATTTGTATAAACACTCAGGGAAAGATGGCCAAGAATTTTCTCAAATGCTGGGAAAGGTAAGAACACAGATGACGCTGCCAAAGAAAAACCCACTCCTGCAGCAGGGAGTTGGACCGAGCTGCTTTAAAAGGTCTGATAAAGCCAGCCAAGAACAAAACACTGAACTTCAGTCAAGGACGCTTGAGAAAATGTGGCTGCCAGCATGGAAAAGATTTTTTCTAGTTTCTTTTGGTAAAACTTTAAAAAGAAGATTTAATTCTTTAAAAAAACAACTTTTTCTTGCACGAAAACCCGCAGAGAAATTAAATGTTTTTTTTCTTCTTTTACATCAGAGCACACAGCAGATGTTGGTCAACTGTTGCCTTCAAGTCAGCTCACAGGTGTTATTGTGTGGCAGTGAAGTTTGAATTTATTTGTATGGTGCTAGCGTAATGACATAAAGACGCTATAGGTGGCAGCAGTGGGCTGCTGTGTTTCTACAAACAAAAATTGATTTTCCTCATGGAATTTGGTGCTGATACCAATCAGTTAAGGTGAAGTCTGTATTTTTTGTGTTTTGAGGAGAATTGTCCTGGAAACACAGTTAGCATTGACTGTGAATATTCTAACCTTTAATGCAGTTTTACCTTTCTTATATTTTTAAAATGTATTATTTATTTCTTTAGGTGTTGTTTTTGTCTGTCTACCTGCTGGCAGCCATATTTCCATCCTCGTGCCGTTGTTATCAGTACATCATACAGCCACACACATCGACCAAAGTGGACTAAACAAACACAAACTCCACTCAAGGCACCTAAGGCTATCATTTTGGTCAGAATAAGAATCCTGTTTTAGCCCACCAGAGGCTCCCACATCAGACTACAGATCACATGGCTGTTGCACAAAGCTAACAGCTGTTCTGTGTTAGTCCTTTGGCTTGGTCCAACATTATTTTTCTTTCTTTCCTCTCTTCCTCTCACAGGATAAAAAAGGAGGAGAGCCGGAAGATGGAGTGCATCAACAAAAGGAGAAAGACCGAGTGACTTTCACAGGGAACTGGGGGGGTGAGACGGAGCACGGGTGGGGGCGAGGGGGAGGTTGCAGAATGAGAATCTGGCCACACTGGAGAAAGTCCCCCAGAGGTCACATGAAGTCTGACTCACCGAGGCCCACTGTGCTGAAAGCAGAGCTTTCACCACATTCCTGCACTGGAGAAGATTGGGAAATGACAGTGGGAGGGAGGGAGATGTTAAACAGCTGTCAAAGGAGAAAAAAGGGGGTGAGAGGGAGAGAGAGACGGCTTCATTTCAAAGGAGATAACGTCACTAATGTACAGTAACTATTGCAGCGAGTCTGTTAAAATGCACACATAATATTTGCCATATGTTTGTCATACAAAAAATTATTTATGTGGATCTATTTATTGTCAGAATGGAATTATTTTTTTCTAAATGAAATTAAAGTGGATTTTAATAAAACTAAATACTTTCATTTGGTTTTTTTTTCTCCCCCGTGTGAGTGTGCGTCCCAGTTTTGTGGCTGCGGGTGACGAAATTAGACAAAAATAAAACATTCTCCCGGAGAAAACATAAGTCTTTGGCAGCTTCTGTTTCCAGCTGCCTTTGTTTTGACCTGAGCCGGTGAAACCTGTGGCTCAGCAGCCCCTCCGTTCATGAGATGGAAATAGAAAGAGGCAGAGGTGTCAGTGAGCAGCCAGGACGCAGCTGCCTCCCAAGGACCGTGCAGTGACTTTGCTGCAGCGAGCGACAAATTAATTGTTATCATTATAAAAATGTCTCTCTCCTCTGGGAGCGCTGGGTTTGGCAGGAGCCGAATTAAATGACGCCCAGGAGGAAACTCCAACACATCTGTTTCCAGCAGCTGCAGCCTGAGACTGCAGGAGGAAGGCGGGGGATTCTAGAACCATCTTCGTGGACGCAAGCGTCGTTTCCTAATCCCCGAGACTCGACACCAGCGGGGCCCAAGTTTGAATTCATGTCACCGTCTGTATAAACAAGTACCTTCTCAGTGGTATCAGTCACAGAGCACATTGTTCAAAGTAATGGCTCAGTTTGGAAACAAATGCAGCGCTGAGATGTCAAGTCGGACGGAAATGCGATTTTTAAACAGCTACAGTAACTGGTACTGGTTCATACATACATATATATATATATATATATATACATATATATATATATATGTATATATATATATATATATATATGTATCAAACCCAAGACTCTCTGCTTTCAGCTAACCGCTACACATTGGAACCACCAATGATCATGTCAGCAGCTTCTGCTGAGCCAGGTTATTGATCTGTGGCTCCAGCTCCGGCTCTCAGAAGGTTCCAGCTTCATCCGACTGGTCGGCCTGGAATCACATCCTGATATTTGACCATTAGCTTGGCTACAGAGATAGAGACAGAGTTTGCTGGAGAATCAGAGCTGCTGCGGCTTCACTCCAGGGAAATCAGATCAGTCCTGGTCTGGGTCAGAGCATCAGAGTGTGGGAAAGAATAGATCCTCGATAAGCCGGCTATATCTGCTGGTCAGAACACACACTCGTCCACACAAACATGCACACACACACACTTTCTCACTGCTCAGTCAGATGATCAAAACAGGATCAAGGCTGTAAATAGAACCTGAACCAGTGACTGTGACTTCGGCATCATACATTCATCTGTTTGACCTTTGGTCTCCTGTGCTTTGATTAGATTATAGGTGACATGAATGATGGGCACACTGTGATCTCCAGCTGATCATCTGGAGACTGGTGAGTCATCCAAAGGAAGGTCAACAACTCTAACTGACCCTACGAGTGTCTCATCCTTTATCCTTACTGTGAACACAGAACACACCTAAGGTTGTTCTGAACATATTTCTCAACTATCAAGTTTACAGGAGGATATATTCCATGGATATATACTCTTTAAATTATATAGAATAAAGAGAAAGGTTTTTTTTCTTCTAAAGCAGAGCAATACAAGGCCTAGACCTGCAGTTACCAACTACTGCCACTTGGAGGTACCATAGTGCTAGCTTTGTCACAGACGCTGCTCTTACTGTATCTTGTATATTTTCCGTTGTAAACGTAGAACATACTGGTACTTCAGTCAGCACACAGACGTCTGTGTGTTTATTATGAAGATATACAGCTACTTCATGATCAACTGTTCACCTAACTAACAACCAGGTATGACCTTTAATAGCAACCAGAACCGCAGGAAAAAGATTCTGTCAGACTACAACTCACAACAACACACAAGACCCCTGATCCCCACAGGGCCAGTGTTTTCTGCAGAGGTGTAGAGTACAGAGAACACTGCAGTAGATTCATTTAAAGACAATTTGCCATTCACATTCACACTCACATTCACACCTATGTTCAGTTTAGAGTGAACAAACTGAATGTCGATTAAAAACCACAAATGAACAGAACTTTACCTCCTAAAAAATAAAACATCTCTCCTCCAGGCTGCAGGTCTGAATGGAGTATCATGTTTGGCTTTGACTTAGACAACATTTCTCTTAATCCTGTTGGTCGCTCACGCCGCTGCACGGCTCCGACTCTTTCAAAAGTTGGAGGACGAGCAGCTCCCTGCAGCAGGTGTCGGCTCTCTTCCTCGATCGATTAGGGAACACGATGTGTAAAAGTGGTGTCACGCTCTCCCCGGGTGTTTCAGCTGTTAAAGCGCTCATTACAGCGGCTGTCAGAGCAGGAGCCGCTCTGTGAAAAGATCTCTGGCCAACAAAGCTGACACTTTACCAATGTACCGTCTGCACACCATTAAAGAGAGGCTTACAGCAGTTTGAAGTCCGGCCCTGTGATGTTCTGACCCATCATCAGCACCGACTCTACCTCTATCAGGAATCTAGAGCCGACACCAACTCGCTGACCGCAAAACAGAGGCTGCAGGTGAAAAATGACTTTCTTTAATCCTGCTACATAATCCATAAATCAAGATTAGATAGGATATAATCAGGAAAGAGCTACAGTACGATGTGACAAGTCCAGTCAGAGTGGAACTAGGAGGAGTATGCAGGAGATGTTTCTGAATATTTAAATGTTAGCTCAAAATGAACAAAGACCAAATATTATAAATATCAAAAATAAGAGTTTTAAAAGAAAAAAGAAAAAAAAATCAATAATCTATAAATAAAAAATTCAAATATAAAACTACAGAGGCTAAACGCTACTAATGATATTATAGTGAAAGGTTAGCATAGGGAAAAGGCAAAAAAATGCTAACAGTTTTCAAAGGTTTTCATAGCACCACAGAGGCTCCAGCTGAAAAAATGAAAATGTTTCTGTAATCTATGCCACATAACCAATAAATACAGATTCGATTAGTATTCTAAGGCCAGTAGAAAAAAAATAGAATATATAAAAAATAATCTCCAAAAGCTTCACATGAAAAACTAAAGGGCCCTCAAATTTCAGTATCAAAATTTGTTCGTTCATGTTTGTATTTTTGTCTGTGGCCTGTGAACTAACTTTGCTGTAATTTTGTTTAATATTTCTGTTATAGTCAAATACGTCTATATTAGTCTAATCTATCAGTGATCGTTTGTTCAGGCCTTTGTTATTTCCATGCTCTCTGTTTTGATGAAAAGCTGCAGTCACTCAACTCAAACATACCGTAGTTCTCAGACGTTTGGTGCGTGATACATTCCCAGACCCTCAGATCATCATTTCCGGACTTCCCAGAGTCCTAAGACAGGACTTTAAGAACCAGTGTTTTCAGTTTCACACCTGACCAAAGTGATGTGAAACCAATCAGGGTCTGACTCGGCTTTCTGCTGCGCTGTCTCTCCACCAGAGTGAGTCTGAAATGATTGTTTTAATCAGAGCTGAAACAACTGCTGTCTTCACCGCATGCAATAATAACTGACTCAGAGAGATTGGATTTCCTTCCACCTGATCAACCACTGCCCCACCGTGCTACATGTGGCTTTGACTTACAAAGAGTCTCTCTCTCTTCCTCTGTATGTATGTGAGATAGAGAAAGCAGAAATTCTCTGTCTGGGGATTGTTTCTGGTCACTGGTTCAGGTCCCTCGCCACTGACACCCTTTGTCAAATTGTTGAGATGCAGTGAGAGATGCAGCTCAGCTTTTGACACACACATACACAGAGAGAGACAAACATACACACACACACACACACACACACACACACTCTTTATCTTCTGCGTACTCCTGGATTTGCATGCACTGCTGCCTCCTGACAGGATTACTGGGCAGAGGCAGAACCGACGTCCTGCGCAGCAGAGCTCTTCTCTCTGCCTGGATCTAATGACGTTCTAAGGCACACACTTCCACAATCTTTGCAAAATACAACCTGCAGCTTGATGGTGTGATGATGGTGTGTATTGACAATAAAACCAGAATTAATGGTGGTTCTGTACACGAAAAAAATCAAACAAAAAAACCCTGAAGTTTCACAAATGACATGTGACCTATCACTGTGTCACTGACTGTCTTCAAACTGACAGACCCCATCATAAAAAATACAAACTCTGATTGGAGACGTCTGGAGACATCGCATAATTACAAAGGTTTGGTTTAATGTGTGGTCATACCCACCCCCCGCCCATCCCCGCCTCTTCCATAGCTCCTGCACCTGCTAATCTCCTCCTTCAGGGGGCAGCATTCCCCTCCCTCAGCGCACGGCAGCTTCATCAACATGCTGCTGAAGCTGCAGCAGGTCTCTGTCTGCGGCCCCCACTGTACGGAGGAGCCGAGGCTACACTGTTGAATCTATTAACCTTTTCACCGCTCCCACTGAAAGTCACTGAACCCACTGGAAATAATCCTTTAACACTTTTTAAAGAGTTTGGCAACCAGGCTGTTGGTGTTGGTACAGCTGGGGAGGTGGGGGGTGAGGTGGGGGTGCATGGCTGTGACTGGTCGTTATCTGAGACAATGTCATCTCACATTAGACAGTTGGTTATTCAGCAGAGCACAGCCTGTTGATGGCGTGATGTACAGTCGGACACGCCGAGGGTTGACATGTGATGCTGTCGGACAGGCGGCACAGTCTGAGGAGATCTTATAATTGTCTCAGCACCGACGGTTAATGGACTTCTCTGCTGTGGTCAGGCAGCTCCCAGTCTGAGTCTCATTGTGTGTCACTGAGACCACGGGGGAGGAGGCGGGGGTGGGGGCGGAGGGCACATCAGAGGGAAAGCAGAGCAAGAAAGGCACAGCGTGACTCAGATCAGGGCAGTCAGTCTACAACTGACAGTCTGACTGACACAACAGTCAAATGGACTGGTCGAGACAGTAGAGTGATTAATGCTGTTGAGGTCAACAACTGGACTGAAACTCTCCACACGTTCTACGAGACAGAGCATCAAAAGGTTTGAAGTTTGGAGTTCTACTTTTACATATTTTTCTTCACAATTTTCCATATGATTTAATCATCATTTGAATGTGCCACAAATAACAACATAAAACCATATGATACTATATCAGAACAGTTATG